AGGACCCCTTTAAAAGATAGGCCCCTGCCCCTTTACTCTCTCTCTCTCTCTCTCTCCCCCCGTCTCTCTCTCTCTGTGTGTGCTCTCTGTTTCCCCACTCTCTCTCTCTATGGCGACCGGCCATGGCGGTCAGCCATTACCCTGTTCCTCTTCTTAGTCTACCCATTCTACCGCGCCTTATAATAAACTTATAGTCAATATGTCTGTCTCAGCAATTTCTCTTTTCTTCTTTTTAAACAAAACAATAACATTAAGTAAGAAATAGAGGCAAAGAAAAGAAATTTTGGTTAAAGGACTTTGAATGCCAGGACCCCTTTAAAAGATAGGCCCCTGCCCCTTTTCTCTCCCCCTCTCTCCCTCTCCCCCCTCCCCCTTCCCCCCCAAGAAATTTTGGTTAAAGGACTTTGAATGCCAAGATTATTTCTTGGGTCAATTATTGTGTATTTGATATTTCTAGACATCTCTGTTATGGAAATACAAGAAGAGATTGTGAATACAATAATAAAAAGTATATATGAGAAGAATGTTATTAGATCTCATGTTCACAAAGCCACAATTCCACTATGTATTTTGGGTTTTTGGTTTTTTTGTTTGTTTGTTTGTTTGTTTGTTTGTTTTTGAGATAGGGTCTGGCCATGTAGCCCAGTAGGACCTCAAACTCTTGATTCCCCCTTGCTTCAGTTCAAGGACCAGGAGTATAGGTATGTAGGATTCCACATCATTTGTTAGAAGGATACTCACCTCTCTCTCCCTCTCTCTCTCTCTCTCTCTCTCTCTCTCTCTCTCTGTGTGTGTGTGTGTGTGTGTGTGTGTGTGTGTGTGTGTGTGTGTATGCATGGGGGTAGATGTGTATGTGAAGGAGGTTGTAGGGTCATTAAGAGTGGGTATATGCCAACACATGTGGATAGGTGTGTGTGTGTGTGTGTGTGTGTGTGTGTGTGTGTGTGTGCGTGTGCGTGCGTGTGCACGCACGCGCGCGTGTGCACGCACGCGCGCGTGTGCTTAAGCATGGAGCTGTAGGGTATTGTGTGGTGTGTGTATGTAGGTATGCATGGGGATATATGTGGGGGTTATAGGGTGAGTGGGAGTACAGTGGGGGTAGGTATATGCCGGCATGTGTGGGTGGGTGTGTATGGGTGTGCAGAGACCAGGGACTAACTTGGGTGTCTTCTTCCATCACTTTCTACTTTACTTTTTTAAGACAGGGTCTCTCATTGAACCTGGAGTTCATCTATTGGCTGGATTGTCTGGCCAGGGAACCCCAAGATTCTCCTGTCTCCTCCTCCCAGCACTGTGATTATGGGTACAAGTTACCATTGCTGGCATTTTACACCGGTGCCTGGCATCTGAATTCAGGTCCACTTTCCCTAACAAATTCCTCCCAGTATCAGATTACACACTTGGAGCTATTAGTCACCATGCTTTGTCCAGGAATTAACAGGATCTCAAGACAGTTCTATGGGGGATTCTTACACTACCATGCAATTTCACATGGTTGGGAATATATGAAGCTATGATTTTCTGAGAAGCAAGTTGCATATACCTCTCAACCCTAATGTGCCCTTGAGAAGCAGCCACAGCCTCCCTAGGGACAGACATGCTAAGTTAGGGCTTGGTGATCCAACATATAAAAGGACTCCAGTGCATTTAGATTCCTCTCGAGTGTCACTGTGACCTACAGGTTATTGTATCCTGAGTTGTCAACAGAAACCATATTAGCTGCACCTCATTTCCTGCTCAACATTCAAACAATAAGATTAAACCATTGAGGTTTGTTTTTTTTTCTTTTTTAAGAGTCCTTGTACATTACATTTATTTCCTGTTATTTGTTGGCCTTGACCTTACAGCTGCCCTGAAACCCTGGTCCTCCCAAAGCATGATAGAGATTTTTCAACTTCAAGTTCAAGATAAAGAATGATACATCACCTTCCAGAGACCATGTGAGGTCAGCAAACCCTGGTGATCCGAGGCACAGCCCCAAGAGCACACAGGGGGCTCAGTTCATTGCAGATTTTTGTGTGTTTGCTAAAAATCATTTCAATTTAGCTTTACTTTTATATGAGTATAATTTCCCAACACCAAATATCCACCCTACTGATGATTCTTTTTCAAAGCAGAGGTTTGGGGACCAGAGCAGTGGTTCAGTAGATGAAATATTAAACTGCACAAGCATGAGGACCAGACTGCAGGTTCCCAGCACCTACATGTGCACAAAGTGGACGTGGAAGCCTGTTCATAATCCCAGCACCCAGGAGACTGAAGCAGGAAACCCTAGACTCATATAAAAGCTAGACTCATACAGTCAGTGAGCTCTCGGTTAGAGAGACCCTGCCTAAGTAAATAAAGTGGGGGCAGGGTAAAGAAAACTCAATCTCTGGCCTACACACACACACACACACACACACACACACACACACACACACACTTACCTGCACATGCATTCATAGGAACACACATACATATGTACACATACAACATATACACATGAAGAAAAGAAAGAAAGAAAGAAAGAAAGGAAGGAAGGAATGAATGAAGGAAGGAAGGAAGAAAGGAAGGAAGGGGTTTGGGGCTGGGAAAATATCTCAGTCAGTAAAGTGTCTGCTGTGCAAACACAAGGACCTAAGTTTGAATTCCCAGCAGCCACGTAAACACACATTTTAACCTCAGCTCCATGGTGGGGTGGAGATGGACAGATGCCTGGAGCTTATTGACTGGCCAGCCTAGCCAAATCAATGTGCTCTACATTCAGTGGGAGACTCTATCTCAAAAAATAAAAGGAGGAGTGCAATCGAGGAAAACATCCAAGAACTATCTCTGACCCCTACACTCACATACACACACCCACATGGACATGTATGTACAACACACACACACACACACACACACACACACACACACACACACACCCTTGAGGTTTGATTTCAGTGCCCTACAAGGAAAAATCAGTATGAAGCTCTGTCCAGTATTCAACAAGTTGGCCTTTGTTTCAGTGTCCCCCAGATACATACCTTCTTTGACTGTGGTATGGAGTGACTGAACACTCCTTGAATTCTTGGCAACACATTTAAAATCTGTGTTCAGATCCTCTCTTGTGACTGGATCAAAAATCAGTGACACTTCCATATAGTTCTCATGATTCTCTGAATATTCGCTGGGTGAGGAGACATTTGATTAAGCATGATGGATGTATGTGTGGCAAGTAGACTTGCCTTCCAGATAAACATTCTCAAATTAGAAACATCTGTCCTGTTTAAGCTGAGCACAACTTCTGTGGCGTTCAGAGAACTTGCCATCATGTTTGACTCTTACTTAGGAGACCTTCTAGCCTGTTTCTGGAGGACAACGTGTCCTTGAAGATGCTGTTCATTGTAACAGGGCATTTGCTAACAATGAACACACATACTCTCTTCTTCCTTTGGTTGGAAAACTCCACTTGGGGGTGACACAAAACTACCTCCAATAATCAAGTAGAAACAGAAAATTCTAGCTTGGGGAATTTGACTTTCTCACCAGTCAGTTATTGCACGGTAAGGCAGAGGGAGTTTCCAGAACCCCAGTCCCCTCCATGGGTGTCCACCCTCATTGCTATTATTGCCCTCACGACAGAAACAAATCCAGGTCAGAGGCATCAGCCGGCCCAGGGAAGGTCCTAGTTCAGGAGGCTACCACTTGTAATGTTAGCAGAAGCCAAAGATAGCTCACCACTCTCCATTCACACGAGTAAAGGCATCCCAGAATGTGTTAAGGAGGACTATTAAGTAAGCAGTCTGAGTCTACTAACGCTGGATGTGTATTGTGTCTAAGTCTTCGGCAACAAGGAACTGAAAGCAAGTGATTGTGCTACCTTGCATCATTCTCATCCACTAATTGTACCACAGAGAACTTTTTGTTCATCTTCCCCAAAATGCAAAGGAGTGACAAGCACAAGTCCAGGCTAACTCAAAATATCAAGACTACGACTTAGAAAGTAGGGGAAACTTTGAATCATCTGTCTCCTTTCCTGTCAAAAGAATGAGTGTTTATACACCACTAATTCTCTCTGTGTCTCTGTGTGTGTGTGTGTCTCTGTCTCCTCTTTAGAGACACATCAGGCTACAGTTCTAGTCCAGATACTATGGCCAGGCCTCATAATGTGTATGAGAGCTTATGAAAATCTTTAAGAGTAATGGACGTGACAGAGTGGGAAAAGGAAATATACCAACTCCAAAATATTTTAGACATGCAAACAATCAAAAACTAAAATGTTCAAAGAGTCAACTAATGAACGGCAACTCATCCAAGTCTGGAGAATGTTTGGTTCTCAAGGTAATTTTTTTTCTGCGAAATTCAATTTTTAAAGTTCTAAATCCCCAACACTTTGTCACTTTCTAAAATGTTACTTCTATTGTAACATATGTGGGTCATATTAGCAGGCCCTGAATGTAACACCACCTCCAGGAGGAAGTAACTCACAGCAGAAGACCCTCACCCACTTACTGGTATAGCCCCTCGGTCACTCGGCCTCTTGGGTAGGCCACGGAGATAAATGTGCTGTTAGCCATCCACCACACAATGGTGTTGGAAGATGCATCAGTTCCCAGGAACACCTTGCACGGGACTATCAGCCTTGACCCTGGGTATAGCAAGATACAACACATCAACCATCAGAACCCAGAAGGGAAAGGGCCACCTTACGTCACATCCCTTGTCTTCTCAAACACCCTTCACAAGTCAATCCCGTTACTTGAGAGGAAATTTAGTCTCCTCAAATGGTTCTGCTCAAGTAAAGCTCAACCCTTTCTTACCAAATGTCTCCAGGACCATTCACTGGCCCATGCAGGGAAAAGCCTTCGTCAAGGCCACTCAGCTCCTGCAGAGCATTTACTATTCCAAGGCTGTCTTCTTTCATACCAATTCTAACTTCAGAAAGTCCAGCCACATGGGATTCTTTCTTTTGGCCCATTGCTGGCCTCAGTTCCTTCCTCCCCAATGGAATGCTCCTCTCCAAAAGGGCCCAAGGTTAGAATTAACCCTTTGAAAACCAACTGCATGCCAGGCCTTGGTGGCACACAACATGCCGGGCGTTGGTGGCAAATGCCTTTAATCCCAGCATATGGGAGGCAGAGGCAGGTGGATCTCTGTGAGTTCGAGGTCAGCCTGGTCTACAGAGTGAGTTCCAGGACAGCCTCCAATGCAATACAGAGAAACCCTGTCTCAGAAAAAACAAAAAAGGAAGAAGAAAACCAACTGTATAACTGTATAGTCTACAGATGGTGCCTTCTATACAGCTGTGCAATCTGATAGTGCCAATGCCTTGCTCAGTCATAGGAACGTAACTTTCTCTCTGAGTCACCGAAGAGGAGACAATGAAAAAGAAGAGTAAATCCCATCTGCTCATTTTTTACTCCTAAGATACACCTTCTGCAGTTGGCCTGTTAGTATGTCTGGTCCCATGTCACACTCAGAGAGCGAGAGCATCAGCTCTCCTCCATCACTTCCTGTCCCTGTGACCTAAAACACTCCCACTCACACCCCCTCCAATAGTATAGCCCGTTACGTCTACGTGATGCCTAATGCACAGAAAGCCTGGCCCCATGCCCAGAACTGGGATAAAACAAAACAAACAAGCAAACAAACAGTAGTCATGTGACTTCAGTGCCTTCAAAGTAAAAGGTCGGGACTGGACTCCACTTAGCTGGGTAGCACCTGAGATCCAGGAACCTGGGAGCCATGCAGTAGCAACCTCTGTATCCACTACTCTGATTTTTCAAATAGCTGGTCAATAGGCAGGCATGAGGGATGCAACTGATTCCAACCTCTGCACAAGAGCCCCTAACTCTATGGCCTTCGGGTTAAACTTTAACATTTAAATTCAACACTAAACAGAGGTAATAACAATAATAAATAATAATGTTTTGTTTTTTAAAAGACTCTAAAGCTAGGGCTTAATGAATGAACATCAGAACTATAAAAATCTCTATTACTAAAACAAGCACATAAAAGGGTGTGTATATGTTGGCTGGCTTCCCAGGCATGCAGACCAGAATCTGCAAACAAACTTGACCCCAAGTATGAGTTTCTAAAGTGCACTATATCCCCATGACTCCTCGTGGCTTCTCCTTGCGGTTAATAGTAGAAACAAAACCTTTCTATTGAGTTGACATTGGCACGGTATGGGCTCCTATTGAACAGAGTAGATGCTCAATAAATGGCCAGCCCTTCCCTGCCGTGAACATTCGAAAGTGTCTAGTACAGTTCACTCATGTGCCTTCACTGGCCACCCACTGTGGACCATCCAACAAGGATGTCGGTCAGGACATGCTGCAACAGCCTGGGGTGAAAATGGAAACCCCTTTTCATCAGACCATTGAACGACTATACCAGCTACTCTTGTAACCATGGCCTGCAGCCACTGCTAGCTTTGCTTGACAAACAGATTCTTACTTCTGAGCAGCTGCTAAATATTGAGACCATGGATTAAGTTAAATGTACTAAAGATGCCGGCTCTGTGGACGCTTTCCTACAGTTAATAACTGCTACCAAATGATTTGCCTCTTACATTTAGGTTTTTGTAAGTATAACTTTGAGAAAATAAAGTACCATTGCTCTCAAATAATGGCAACCCTAAAAGTACTTGGCAAATACAGAGGTCCCCTGCATTGGTCATGTTAGCCAATGTAGGGGACCACTTGGGCACTCTATGCCCAGAGGCCCAATATGGTCCACAGACACAGATCCCCAAACCCCCAATGATGGGTTTCAGGCACAATCGTGGGCAAGTAGGATACCCCGTCTTTGCAGATCCTTACCCAGGGATGCTGGTATTGTCTCTAGGGGAGAAATAATCACAGGGATGGTTTCCGTGGATGCTTCTGAGAAAGTTGGAAGGAAAAGAGATTGCATTAGGGAAGCCTTGGTTTCCAGCTGAGATTCAGATTCCATTGTTTAGCTAATTAAGTGATCCTGTGGCCAAGCATTTTGAGAATCAGCCTTTGTCTGGCAACGGAAATGGGCTCTCCATAAAACTGAGCTTCTTAAGCCAATGCTTTTCCCGGCAGAGACATTACTGGAAGAGGCCACAGTTACACATTCCGCTGGCAGATGGTCTTTTTATCTGCTCTGTGATGAACAATTAGCTAGTCCTCTCCCAGGCTTCCTGGATGCACCCTGATGAGAGCCACAGGATGGTTTTTGTCTAAAGGTCTGCCCTACCCATCAACATTAAAGATCCACTTCTTCAAGAGCGGACCCAGGGGTTGGAAAGTTGCCCATGTGTGAGACTAATCCCACACTGGGTATTAAATTCAATGACACAGCCTTGGTCACTGATGTCTTATTAACTAAGGAGATAAATTCTTTAGGGAAGCTGGAGTGGACCTCCAAGGGCTTTGAGTCAGCTTGAATGAACTGGGCACTTGACACGGAGCAGAAAGGACAGCTGGGAGCGAGTTAAGGGCCGGGAGCCATCCCTCAACTGGCCTCATAAGACCCGTTTCTTCTCCTAAGAAGCTCTTAAATTACTACTGAAATAAGCACCTGCCGAGCTGACAGGGCAGCTTAAGGAGCAGACGGCTTCTCCACTGGGAAGTGGCATTGCTACCTATAACAAGGCTGGGACAATCAAGAAAGTCCAGCATCAAGGATTGTTCTCCGACTTGGCCTTGCACCTGTATGGCCTTGAGGGGGCGGGGCTTGGGAAATGCAGACTTGCACCTCAACTCCCAAGCTCCAGCTTAGCAGATCTTCACAGGACCTTAGATTCTCCTGCATGGTGACTACAGGTTCTGTGTGTGAGCAGTACTCAGGTGACCTTGCTGTTTCTGGTTCAAGACCACAATCTGAGAACCACTGTGCCCTCCCCAGTTCACAGCTCAGTACAATGTGCGGGTCTGCCGCCCCCTAGTGTTTCTACGCAGTATCACACAAACAAGCACTGAACTTTCTCTAGCTGAACCCTGAAACAAGCAAGGAGTTATGTGTGAGTATGAATGGGTTCTCAGGGGACAAGAAAAAAAAGTATAACCCAGAGGCTTGGGCTCATGGAGAATATATTCCTTAGGATGCAAAGGAATCTCTGGGTTCTGTGAGAGAAGTTATTTTCCCCTCCCAGAAGTTATTTAACCACTGGTGTTCCCTAAGCTCTCCAAAGTCAGCCTTTAATTAAAGATTCCAGTTGTGTCTGATCCTCAGTATAAAGAAATACTATATATTCTCCAGGGAAGAGTCTGTGGCCCACATATTTTATTCTCCTTTCACTTAGCTTCCTCTCCAGCACATGAGAGGTGGGATGGACATTAAATGGCTGTTAAATGTGGCCAGCCCTGCCTACCACATTCTTCTCACGTAGAATCTGTCCTGGTTTAGGCTGAGCATCATTTCTGTGGGTTTTCAAAATCTGAATTACTCTAAAATCTGAAATTTGTTGAACACCAATGCCATGCATGGAAAATTCCATACTGTGAAACATGGCTTTATGCACAGAGTTACTTAAAATACTGCGATAGCCATCCTGGTGGCATCCATCTGCAACCTCCGCATGGAAAGACTGCAGTAGGTTCTCCAGATAGAAGACAGCCTGTAGCCCTGGGCCATAGATCCATTCTAAGTATAGTCTGAAACCCTGTCTCAAAAAAAAAAACAAGAAAAATGAAAGAAAACATCATATCAAACTATCTTTGGGCTATGAGTAAAAATATATATGAAACATAAACTAATTTCATGTTTAAATTTGTGCCTATCCCCAAGATACCTCATTATGTCAGTGCAAATATGTTCTTGGCATGGGGGAAGGGTGTCAAGACTCTGGAGGTTTCTGTTGTCAACTTTCAGGCAGCTAGTGCTCACCCTGAATGAAGGGCCTAGACATAACCTCAGCAGACAATAACCAGAGCACTTTGAATGCCTCATGTCAGTGCATAGCGCTCTAGTCAAAACCCAGTAAAATGGGGCTAGAGAGATGGCTCAGTGGCTGAAAGCATTTGTTGCTCTTGCAAAAGGATGATAGTTCAATGCCCGGCACCCACATGGTGGCTCACAACAACCTGTAAGCCTTACTTGGTCCAGGGGATCCAACGGCACACATGTGGTACACATATGTGTGTGGAGGCAAAACTTTCATACATGTAAACTAAAATTAATTTAATTAAAAAAAACAAAACAGTGGTCCTCAACCTTCCTAATGCTTTGACCCTTTAATACAGTTTCTCATCTTGTGGTGACCCCACCCCCCCAACCATAAATTTATTTCATTGCTACTTTCATAACTGTAATCTTTCTACTGTTATGTATCCTAATGTAAATATCTGATATGCAGAATATTTGATGTGTGACCCCTGAAGGGGTCACAACCCACAGGTTGTGAACCACTGCAGTAAAATCTCTGTACCTTAATAAGTATATACTAGGGCATGGCAAGTCTGTCCCAACCAGCTAGCTCAGTTTGCACCTTCCGTGTTCCAGAACACCTTGGCCCCCTCTAGTGGTGAGTTTTAGGCTTGCCATTTTCAGACACCTGCTTGAATCCTTTACCTGCCCAAGAATAAATTCTCCTTCTCTCAGAACTCCCAGGATATACTGTTGAAAGTATCTTGCACATGTCTTAGGGACCTTTAGAATACTTGTCGGGTGTGTTTTTCTTTTCCTTCATGACAAAGACATTCGAGGGCTCCTATGTGGTTCTGAATTTATTCTCATCCTGCTGTTCTAGGTATGACAGATATCTCAGTGGTTAAGTACTTACCTTCGACACGGAGTTTAATATTCCTAGTGATGTTGTATTCCTTGCCCTTGTGGATAAATGTCGCAATGCATCTGTAATAGCCGGCATCCTCCATGGATGTGTTGGCTATCAGTATGTGTGTCCCGTCTCCCACTCTTAGAAATTTCTTACTGTTTCTATCCAAAAGGACAGAGCCCTTGAGAGGAAATGTATCATAAAGTTACATCATAGAATAGCACAGCTCTCAAACACTCAGGGAGATATCATCATTGTCAGTCAATGTAGAGTCTGCAACCCAAAAATTTTCCTGGCACATATTTACATTTACAGTTTTGTCTTTGGGGTATACTTTTAACTGTATTTTTAGGAAAATTGTAGTTTTTTTTTTCATTGAGGCAGGACCCTCTCATGGAGCCCACTCTGGCCTTACACACTTGATTCTCCTGCCTTAGACTTCTGGATTCTGGAATGACATGGATGTGCGTCCATACCCAGTTTAGGAAAAGGAATCTGTTAACATTTTTAAGGTTAACTTATTTTAGGCCATTTAAGTACAAATATATTTAAGCAGATCAATATTAAAGAGCCATGAAGACAAAAAGGTGGGAAGAGAGCATGTTACAGGAATTCCTTTAAAATTCATTTCAATTTTAGGACTTTCTACTAGAGAGAACATTTTTAAGTATATAAATAGGGGATCTGGGGTCCATTTTCTCATGTGGACACAGAGTCCTATAGGTTCTCTGCAAACAGAACCCTCAAGGGCAAGGCCTCCAGTACAAGGGGAGGTATACAGGATAAAAAAAATTCTTAGCATACTATGTCCTCAAGAATACTGCTTTCTAAACCATGATAAACCATGCATGGTATCATGTGCCTGTAATCTCAGCATTGGGGAAGCTGAGACAGAAGGATTACAAGTTTGAAGCCAGACTGAGCTACACAGAGAAGTCCTGTCAAAAGGAGGAGTAGGAGTGTGGGAGAGGGGCTGAGAAAGAAGGGAGAGAGGGAGGGAGGGAAAGAGGGAGGGAGGGAAGAGAAAAGAAAAGGTGACCAAACTCATCTCTTTTAGAAATCAAATATAGCCTTGAGTGACGTCATAATCGTATGCTGATCATAACTGTACGCTGGCTGGGAACACAGACAAAACTGAGACAGTCAGCAGCTTATCTTCCAAATATACTTAATCAAATCGGGGAATGGGGATTTCACAGTTCCTAGCATGAAAAGACAAACATGAATACAGGGCACGATGTCACAGTTGTTCTACAAACTGAGACTTTGGGTCAGTTTCTTCTGTCTGCAAAGGAGAGAAATGAGCAGTCTCTACCTCATTAAGCTGTTCACTGAGGTTGGAACAGGGTCAGCATAGTCCATACTCAGCAACGCTCAGCATGATCGTAGAGGGAGCAACTATTGCTAACACCATGGTGCTAGCCCATCTATTAAGCACTGTGCCAGGTGCTTCATGCGTATCTCTCCATTCATGACCTTCAAAACTGCAGGGAATGAGAAGGGCTGTTTCACAGCAGAAACAGATCCAAGAGAGGGAGCAAATGGACCAAACTAAAAGGAGGAAGAAGGTTCTAACCCACACGTTTGTAGATTCATTTCTGTTCTCTGGAGGTGAAACCTTGCATTTATCCTCTGTGTGCTCTTCCTAAACCCAGAGAAGGCCCTCTCCAGCTCACCAGGCTTGTGCACAGGCACAAACTACTTTCAGAGAAGCATTCCAATGTTTCCAGTATTGCTGTGATGTGGATAAGCACGTGTGGACAGGCACACATGTACATTCTGCCACTACATTACCAGTCAACTGGTTAACCTACTGATTAAAAGACTAATTCTTACGGATGACTAAGTGAATACTAGACTTCTCAGCATCGCTCTATAATCCGTATCAGAGGTTGGCAAGTTCTTCCGGATAAGAGACAAATAGGACATATTTCAATGTCATCATGGTCTGCATGGTCTCTGTCACAACTCCTCAGTGGTGCAGACACAGACAATCCATAACCTGATGGTATGGCTGTGCCCTAATACACATGTATTTATGGACATTGACGTTTGAGCATTAGTCAATGGTCACGTGCTCTGAAGTAGTCTTCTAGTTTTTTCAAGCACTTAAAATCTGAAAACTCTCCATATTTGATGAGTTACATGGAGACAGGTGACAGCTCTATATGACACTAGGCTATAATTTGAGGCCTATGCTGGGCATAACAGTGTCTAGTGACCTCAAAATCCACAGAAGACTAGCCATTTATTTAAGGAGACCAAGGGGAAATAGTAACTGAATTTACTCTTGTAACCCAAAAGTTGCCTTGTGATTTAAAAGAGATTTCTTTAACATGTATATAAAATTTTTTGTAAAAATGAACAAGGCTTCTTTTCCCCTTATTTCCTGCTTATTTTTAGACAAGTGACAGTAAAAAGATCTTTAGTAGCTATTTACTCTGGAAATCATTTCATAGTCTGTCTACATGAACCTTACCCAAACCACAGAAGAACCAACAGCTAACACCAATCACCACCATTTTAACTAATGTTGTAATTCTAAATATGTAGGTGTATGTGTGTCTGTATGGATGGATGGCCTTCACACAGCTTTTGTGTATGTGTTCTATAGGCGGTAAGACATATCTCAGTGGCATACTTGTTTTGAAGCATACCTTATACCACTGCACCTTTCCATCAGCTTTGTTGGGGATGAATTCTTTCAGGTCAGGGCACACTAGTAGCCCGGTGGTTGAGACAGATGAGATTTGCGAGTAGGAGATAAGTGGCAGAGATGCTTCAGTGTTCTTAAAAACCTTGAGTTCTATGGACATTTCCTCACAGTGAGATGCATTTCTAATTGTTTATTGAGGGAGAGAAAAAGAAAGAGGCAATGAATGGCAAGACAGAAATACGAAAACTAAATGCAAGAACGACTTCCCACCCCCATTCATCCTGCCTGCATCGTCCTGATGATCAGTGCTTGACTCCTGACTGTTTTAAGTTCTTGGGATACAGAAAGCTTCACATCCTAACTGCTATATATAGATGCTGTGTGTCCTGTGCTTTCCATGAAGGACCCTGCAGAAGCTTCATTCCAGTGCTCAGGACACTGAGAAACCCCCAAGTCTTCTCCAAAGGGATTCCAAAGTTGAGAGCCTTTGAACCCAGCCTGGATATGATCCAAGGAACTGCACAAACAGATGGTTTCCCAAGAACCACTGTCTCCATTAAAGCAAAAACAAAAACCCTTTCCTTCCCCCTAGGAACTCTTTACAAACTGATTTCTAGTTTCAGGAAACTGCTGTGAAGTTAGTGTTTGGACTTTAAAAGACGTGAACAGAAATGCATGGCAAGGGTGTGGGGGACAATAGTTTGCTGAGATGTTTTTAATTGTCAGCCCACCCATAATCCTAATATTGTGATTCAATCAAGCCCCTAGAACTGAGATAAAAATGGTGCAGGAAATATGAGGGGAAATGGATAAAGGACTGAAGAGATGAATAAATTTAATGTTTAACATAGAAAAACAAGGGCTTGAAAGGTAGAGAAGTAGAGCATGCACTTAGTGTAGATGAGGCTGTGCATTTAACTTGCAACATTCCAAAAAGGAAGCAAAATGAAACAGAAAAATAAATAATTAAATCAACTAAGACCCTAAGACCCTGAGATGAGTAGCTACCTAAGATGAATAACACATACAGTGAGACCGTAAGAATCAACTGGAAATATGGTGTGAAAGTTATTTTCACAAAAAAAAATCTAACAAAATACATCCAAAGAAACAGCGACATATGACAATTACATATGAGAGATTTGATAACCACCTAACTTGGTGCAAGCTTTAAAAAGGAAATAAAAACATAAAACCAACAAAAATTAAACTAATGGGCAATTTATGCACAAAGAAAATGCGGAATGTTAACTCTCACTTTACGAAGAAATTACTAATCACACTTGGGATTTGAAGGACATTGAGAAATCAATCTGCATCTATGCTGGAAGACATCGTCCATCCACCCCACCACTGCCGCCGCCACCACCCTCCTAGGGCTAGCTTTCACAGTGTCAGAGAGTGTTCTGCAAACTGTTGGAGGAAAAGAGTCACCACCAGTTTGACCAGCTGTGGACCCCATAAGCTGCAGCTAGCTTCCTGTCCGTCAAGTATGTCTATCCACTGATGTGTGAATGGCATGGCTGTTATGGAGATAACCAACTGTTCTCTACTTGGATCTGAGGCTTCTTCCACAGGAAGAAAAGCATGCTTGGGTTCTGTCAACCTGTTCTCCATGGCTAGAAAGGTCATACGCCCTAAGGGGAAACTTTCTACTCTTGCTTTGCTAAAGTAGACATGGGCATGATGTCAAGCTGCCTTCTAAATATTTATGTTTATACCTATAGATGAATGGCACTCTCAGCCTTCATCAGAGAAGCCTCTTTTTTGCAGTGGGTGGCAACACAGACACTCAATGATGGTACAAGTGTAAAGAATAAGTGACTGTGGAATGCTCGGCCCTAGCTAGGACACACCCACTCACAGATTCAGAGACCATTGCAGAAGAGGGGGTGGAAAGAATGTAAAACCCACAGTTTGAGGTAATGCCATGAGATAGCATCTTCTGAACGTGACATGCCCCACTGTATTCATGAACTCCTAGCAGCTGTGGTTGCCTGCATAAGATTGGGCTGGTAACAATTGCCTAATTCACTGGGGAGGAAATCCTGAGGTTCACTCCTCACTGAGGAAGAACTATGGGCAATTAATGCAATTAATGGGTACCAGGGGAAGGGGTTGCCATTTTCTTCAGTTGTGCAGCCACTGAAAAGTTACCTGTGTTCTACTAGTAAACAGCAACCCAACCATGCTTATGCAAGCAACCATGATTAAGCAGGATGGGTCATGCACACAAAAAGACACCAAAGTTGGAAGAGGATTTGAGGGGAGAAAAGGGGTTTCAATGGAAAAAAGAAGGGGATGAAAGACAGCAATTGGAAATGAAAATAACCAAAATTCAGGAAATACGTGTATGAAGTTTCTCAACAAATAATTACACTACATATCAAAGGGATGCAGATGAGAGGTATGAAGTGGGCTCATAGTAGCTAGTTTTACAAAGTGATCTTCAGTCAAGTAACATATTTGGGAGTGATGATTATAATGGTGCTTTCAACTAAAGTAAATTAAGTACACATTTAAGTGACCTTAAATTAACCATATATCTGTATGTATACATGTATATGGTAATAGTGATTATAATAGTGTTTTCAACTAAAGTAAATTCAGTTCAAATTTAAGTAACCTTCTAAGTCTCTATAGCTACACAAAAAAAGAAAAAAAAAGGCTCTTGGAAATCCCAAAGACTGTGAGAAGTCTCCAGAAACCAAGCTTGCCAGATGTATTGAGCATTCCAAGCTTGTTCACATTATTGATTTGGTATTCATTCCAGATTTTTTTCCATTTTTTTATTCCATTATTTTCCCCTTGGGCAAAACATTAAGACTGAGGACTGTTTGTTCTGGCAGTAAATCTTGACTACTCTGAGTGACAGAAAGGTCATGTGGGTTACCAAATAGCAAGAACATAAACACAGAAGAGCAGGGCAGTCTCATGTCCTGGAACTGTAAACACCAAAGTTTGTCCTAGCAGTTGTTGGAGATTTCCATTCTAGTTGAAGCCCAGTATTACACAGTTGGAAGAGAAGGCAAGCATCCTCCAGGCAAGGAACATTTTCACCACCCTACCTCAATCTCAGAGCTCTCCTTTTTCCTTGCAAAAATAATGGCATTAGCTATAATTGTTAATCTACCATAAAAACTAACTATGAGGCCAACATGCCTCTGTTCATCCCTCCCTAATATTCATATCTCTAGGCAATAGCCCTGCATGGACTCTGGGCTCTCATTGGTCGTAGACCATGAGTCTCGGTACACCAGATCCTTCCCATGCTGTGGTTAGCATACCTAACCCTCCCAACAAACCTCTCAACAGGGAAGAAAACTGGGACTTGGGTATCAGGATGGGGCAGGGCTAAAATGCCCATTTATGTCTTTCTGATTCCAGATCAAGTTGTTTTTATTTTTTGTACTACAAGTCTAAGTTTTCCTCCTAGTGTTCCTCAGAGTCAGATGGAAAACCTTGGAGAAAAGATGCTTTATATCTGCTGCAAAATCAAATGTTTCCATTTCCCCAATACAGGAGTAAGCGATCCCTGAACTGCTTCCTCAGCAAGAGTCGACAGATCTAAACCTGTCTCTAAGCTATTTATAGGGGAAGTGAGGCACACAGACCACAGTGCCAAGCTGGATTTGATCTGAAAGAATTTTTGACACCACAAACACATGCACATTTTTTTATACACCCCACCTTGGACTGGGGCTGATCTTGTTTTAGATTCTTCCGTTTGTGCTAAGAACATCAGCTTGTCTGGATCTTCTTCTAAGTGTCAGTATTCTGGGCAATCTATCCATAAATGAATTAATGAAATCTAGAAGGACTGTAGAGCTAGCAGGTAGGTGGAGCAAGCAGAGGCCCAGGAACAGAAGCAGCCATCTGTGGAAGGAAGGCTATTCTCCAGTCGTGCCAAGGGTGTGCCCTAATCCTTTCAGAAAAACTATGCCAGGAGATGATCAAGATTCTCAACATGAAGGATCTTGTTTTATGTTTTACCCTTTAAGAAGCAGCAGGGCACATCAACAGCAATCACTGCGGAGTGATCTTTTTAACAAACGGTGCTGAGAGAGCAGTAGAGCCCCATGAAAAACCAGGGCTAAACCCTTGTCTCACACTGGATGAAAAATTTACCTCGAAATATATTGGGCACCTGAAATACAGGAGTTAAACTTATAGAATTATAGGAAGAAAATGGAGGGGAAAGCTTCATAACTTTGAATTCCCTAAGCCCAGAAAACACAAATAACAGGGGCAGGAAGCATATAATTTAGAATTCACCAAACTGTAAATGCATTTGTGCAAAGGACTCTATCCATGGAGTGAATAAGCAAGCCAGAGAGTGAGATAAACTATCCCCAAATCATATAACTAATAAGGAGTAGACATTCCAAACTCCCCCAACTCAATAGCAAGCAATAAACAATCCATCTCTCACAACTGGCAAGGACTTGAGTAGCCATTTCTCCAAGAACTATATACACAAGTAGCCAAGAAAGACATGCAAAGCTGAAACACCCAGAAACTACAATCAAGGACACGAGCCACCATGTCACACACATTAGAACACTGTGAAAAAGAAACAGCAACTTGCTTTGGCAAAAATGGAGAGTAGCAGACCCCTTGTGGGGATGGAAGTCAATGCAGCTGCTGTGGAAAACACATTGGTAGTTCCTTAAAAAAAATAAGATCAGACATAAATAGCCAGGGGATCCAGAAACGTGAACAAAAGCTTATGTAGCTGTTCATGATGGCATTACTGAAGACAGCCGCAAAGCGGGGCAAACCTGAGTGTTCACGGAAGGACAAATGGACAACAGAGGTAGGATGTTTGCACCATGACGCAGCAATAATCAGCCTTGAAAAGGAAGAGAATTCTAACATGGGCTGTAGTGCTTGCACGAAGCATCTAGTAAAAGAGGCAGATTCACAGAGACAGAGGGTAGAGGGGTGGTTATCAGGGGATGGGGGTGAGGAACGGAGGGACAGCTGTAGTTTAATGAGGACCAAGCTTCAGTGTGGGAAGAAGAGGAAGTTCTAGAGGTGGATGGTAATGACAGTGGTGCAACAGTATGGGGGTACTTAACTTGCTTGAGCTGTATTCTTAAAGATAGTTAACACGGTAGGGTCTATGCTATATGTATATTACAACATACATAGGACATAAAATAGGGAGGGTTGGTCCAGATTCATGGTGTATCCCCTCCTCTTTCCCCAGAACTTCCTACGCATGCTAGTTTTTCTCATCTGTGCAATAATCAATCGGATTCATCTATTTCTAAGACTCCATCCCGTTCTACAATTCTCCTAGGGATTTTCCATCTAGGTCTTCTTTCTCTACCATGGGGAGTCACCAGTGAAGGGCACAAAGCAAGTCCCCATCTTCTGGGGGCTCATGTTCTAACGACAGACCAATGTTACATACATGTGCACAGAACAGATGTGTCTGGTGAGGAAAACATAATCAAGAAAAATAGCATCAGGGTAAGGAGAGGGGACAGAATACTGTGTCAGCTGACATGGCTGGGGGTTCTCTCCAGAGGGGTGACATCTGAGTAGAGATCAAATACGCTATAGGAGAGAGGGAGCTATAATAATGTCCAGATGAGGGGTCGTCCTGGTTTGCTTTCCATCACTGGTAAACATCATGAATACAAGCAACTCAGAGAGGAAAGGGTCTATTTTAGCTTACAGCTTACAGTTCATCATGAAGGGAAGTCAAGGCAGGAACCTAGAGGCAGAAACTGAAGCAGCGGCTATGGACGAATATTGCTTATCGGCTTTCTCACCCTACTTTTTATACAACCCAGAATCTTCCAACCAGGGATGGTATTGCCCACATTGGGGGTGGTCGTTTGAAAAAGAATGGCCCCAGAGGCTCATATATTTAAATACTTGGTCACTAGGCAGTGGCACTATCTTGGGAGAGATTGGGAGGAATGATCTTGTTGGAGTAGGTGCGACCTTGTTGGAGGAAGAGTGTCACTGGGGGATGGACTGTGGGGTTTCAAAAGCCTAAGCCAGTCCCAGTGTCTCTCTCTTCCTGCTGCCTGTGGATCAAGATTCAGAACTCTCAGCTCCTTCTCTAGCACCACGTCTGCCTGTGTGCAATGATGCTTCCCATCAGGGGGATAACAGACTAAACCTCTGAAGCTAAAAGTGAGGCCCAATGAAATGCTTTATTTTTATAAGAATTTCTATGGTCATGGTGTCTCCTCATAGTAATAGAACACTAAGACAGTGAGCTAGGCCCTTCTATAATAAATCATTAATCAAAAACGTGTCCCACCATAACTGGATGCTGGCATGTAGAAAACTGCACATAGACCCATATCTGTCACCATGCACAAAACTTAAGTCCAAATGGATCAAAGACCTCAACATAAATCCAGCCACACTGAACCTC